TGCTAAATAACCTAGCCACACGTCACATAAAAATATCATCTATCACCCTAGGCTGTTAACTATTTTGACTTGGGATTGTTTAAAGATAGCAATAGTCAAAATCCCCAATAAAACCTAACTACTCTGAATTTTGACTGTAATTTCATGTAATTCTTCTTCATGGTCTTATCTTTTCAGAATAGCATAGAGTCATGAAAGGAGAGAAATAAATTTGAGTTGTGGGAGTTATATTTTATGTATCTATTGGAATATACTGTACTATTCCCTGTGAAAATCTAGATTGCAATATACAGGATTGCAGGTAGTCCTCAATTTACAAGCATAATGAAGCATGCCTATTATAAGTCATGATAGTAATAAAGCAGGTCACCTATGTGGCCAACCTAGTTTTATGATTTATTTTGTACATGCGGTTAATCAAATGCGTCCGTCATAAAGTGAACATTGTATTTGTTAATCAAATGAATTGTTCACTCTAGACCCCTTTTGCTGAAAACCAGAAATATATGTGAATGCCAGGGGAGTGGAAGGAGAAGGCATCAGAATCAGGCCATGAGTAACTGGTCATTAGGACTACTTATTTACTGTTAGGACAAAAAATAGCACCTCTGGTACAATCCTCGTTTAAATATACAGCACCAAATAGAAGAATACGTACTATGCATATTTACAAGTACCCACATATTTCAGTAATGATATTTCAACATTACTTGGATTAATTTAAAATCATCTCTTTTATCTATGCAAAGCTTAATTTCATGCCCGAAGACAATCTTTTTCAAAGAGAAGCATTCTGATTAAATCTCAAGGGTATTAGCATTTCCTAAATTCTTAGGACTAAAAAATAGCAACTGAAAATTGTATTCTGTTGCAATATATTAAGAAAAACAGTGAATGTATGGGTCATAAATTCTGAATGAAATTTGTTAAAAGAAATTTTCTGACTTATGGTGGGTCATCAGAGATTTTTGAACAATCCAGATCATGCTTTCTAAGATTCTGTTCATTACTAATAACTTTGTCTACAAATTTGAACCTGATTTGAACCTGAACCTGCTTTGAACCTGGTTGTCTATGGAGATTCTCAGTTGTCCCAAAGGTGCTTTTTCAAAAGGCAACTGAACTTTCTGGTTTTTCTTTGAAGACATTTTGCTTCTCATCCAAGAAGCTTCTTCACCTCTTGTCCAGTTGCCTCTTGAAAAAGCACATTTGGGACAATCGGATTGGTTGTAGTCTGCATGCAGGGATTTATACTGTATATAATGTAATTAAATGTACTTGGACTAGAATTGAAGAAATCAAGATTTGCTCACTGCTAGAACAGCTCACTAATGACTTGGGTTAGTTATTAGTTCCAGTCTACCACAGGTTTGATGTGCTAATAATTAAATTTGAAGAAGAGGTACAACATAGATCTAAAAACTCCTCATGGAATATGCAGTATAATTTAAAGGAATAAACCATAACTGATATTCCTAAAATTATGAATAATTTGAATTATGAATAAATCAGGTCCTAAACCCAAGAAAACTATATTTAAAATCTACTAGAACCATTTCTTTAAGATAGTCAAATTGGAACAGGAGTCTTCAATCAAACCCTGAATTCTTACACTTATTTCCTGTCTAAAAGAGACCCATTGAAACAATGAGATGCTTACCCAAAAGTATTTTTAATCATCTTACTATATATTCTGCTTATGTAGGATTATTTCTTTATTTTCTTTGTCTGCAGACTGTCCACATCTATTTGGATGACCACCCAAGTTCAACAAATAGTCTAACCATTTCTGCAGTCCGTTATTAGTTTTACAGTACTCTGGGAACATTAGGTCATATCCCATCTCACTTTTCCTTTGGGATTCCACGTTTTACATAAATATTTTTCTCACAATAATCCATACTGGTAGCAGGAAATATGTTCCCTTGTGAACATGAATAGGTACCTAATATAACTACCATTTATAAAAAAAGTAAGGAACCATTGAGTAACTAAAAAAAAAAAAAGATTGTTCCTCATTATAGATACTCAGATGCAAGGACTAAGGAAGTTTAACTTTATCAGATAAAGAAAAGGAAGCTTTTCCCCTTACATTCATTTCAGACCAAATTTAGCCTGCCTGCCTGCCTGCCTGCCTGCCTTCCTTCCTTCCTTCCTTCCTTCCTTCCTTCCTTCCTTCCTTCCTTCCTTTTTTTTTTTTTTTTGCTATTTCCCAAATTGCATTTTAATAATAATCAGGATTTTGAAAATAATACTATGTGATTGTATTAAAAATTAATTTAATAAAATCTTTATTGAGTGCCAGATGTATATGGCAGCAAATGTAAAATACAAATAGCTTTCCATACCCACTGACAATATGTACTTCCCCAGGGCAAATACACAGACTTAACTACAAATATTTTTCAAACCTAACCTGAAGTTTATTTACACAGCTGGAAAGCACTGAACTTTCCTTCCCTTTCTTCCTCATTTCACACTTGACCTCTGCCTCTTCTTATTTTCAGGCCTTTCTGCTTCCTAAAATATTGGGATCTCTGAGGCAGAAGTAAAAATTATGTGATTTCATATTGATTATGACTTTATAGATTCTTTTTTTCCCGTTGTTTCCAAAATTTGCCTTTTTGTTCATCCTAATACTCAAGGCTAAATTCTATTAAAAACAAAATCCAACAATTTAAAATATAACATTAATAATAAAGTTAACTAACTGTTAAAAGCCTAGAGAAAGAACTGAATCTTTTTTCTAAATGGTAAGAAAATGAGAGATGAACACAATTTCTGAAGCAGTGCATTCAGCATCCCTGAAGCTATCTATGCTAGATATGGATCCTTTCCTGAGGGCCATTTATATGAGTTTTTGTCATTAGGGACATATTCAGACATATGTGCAAATTCTTACAGATTTGAACATCGAGATAGATTTAAAGTGGGAAAGATAGACTTTTAATAAAGTAGGCCTGAAACACTGTTAGATTCAATAGTAAAATTCAATAGTAAGACCAGCAATTGTCCTTGATGACTAGCAGAGAACTACTGCAGATCCTTTAAAATATTAATCATGTGATCCCTGTAACTTCTAATGGTTATCAGCCCATTTGGCATTCATTTCAGTTTTTATATAACTGTCAAGGATAGTCCCATATCTTCAGGTAATAATTAAGATGAAATGCAATCCAGGCATGGATAACAAATCAGAGCAACTCAGAATCTAACCATAAGAGCCGTGGTGGCACAGTGATTAGAGTGCAATACTGCAGGCTATTTCTGCTGATCAACAGCTGCCAGCAGTTTGGCAGATCAAATCTCACCAGGCTCAAAGTTGACTCAGCCTTCCATTCTTCCGAGGTGGGTAAAGTGAAGGCCCAGATTGTTGGGGGCAATATGCTAAAGTCTGTAAACCATTTAAAGAGGGCTGTAAAGCATTATGAAGTGGTATATAAGTCTAAGTGCTATTGCTATTGCTATAACCTCACTGTAGCTAGCATCTTGCAGTCCAGAAGGATCAAGAAGTACTTCCCAAATGTAGACCTATTCTTTTTGAGGAGTTTAAATTCACTCCCAGATTCCTATTTCTAACTATCAACAGCATCCATTTTGTCTGGTTTTCATTTCAGTTTCATTATTGCTACTGCAACTAGCTGATTATAGAACTTAAAACTCTTTATAAGGATACTAATTACTTAGCTGAACTTGAATGACAAGAAGCAATAGAGTTGAATGTCAGCAGCATACTGATGGAGTCCCACTCCAAAACTTTGAATAACCTTTCTCAACAGGAAAGCTCTGTGTCCTGATCCATATTTTAGCCTTAATTTGCATGTTGCAATTGTTTTTAATAGCATTAGGTAGGATAACTTTTGGAAGCATGATTCTGAATATAATTTGTATTGAAATATCATATATTTTAGATTTAGATTCTAATAATTGGCTTAACCTAATACCGTAGTTTTATCTTTTCTGATCTGCTTGTGGATATGGGTTTATTCCTACTATAATAGAACTTCAGCTAGGTAAAAATTTCTTAACTTCAGTTTGAATAGGAATATCTTAATTTGAATGCTAAATGTATTTGTAGTGAATGAATCTCATGGAACTCTAATTAACTATAGGATATAACTCTTTTATAAGATCCATTTCTAGTCTTTTATAGTGTTGATTGTATATATTACAGCTACTCTTCGGCATGCCATTTAAAAATCTATATTTGTTATTTTAATTAATAAGATTTGTATGGATTTCTGTTATTTATTAGTTTATATTCCCTTTGTGTTTATTTGTGAATGCCAAAGTTTTTCCATGCTGTAGTAGTCTCTGTTAATAATCAAGATAAGGAAATTTACATTAGTTCCACTTAGTCCATAATAAGTGTTGACATGAGTTTTTATGAATAATAACTATAGTGATACAGGTTAATTAATTCTAGGGGAAAAATCTATGTGGACTAGGCCTTGGGAAAACTGTAATATTTAAGTGCAGGTTATTAAATTCTCTTCATGAAAGTGGCTAGTAAGACAGAATTTTCCCTAGATGTTTATTTTAAGAATGCAAGCTAATATTAGGTCAATACAATCTCTAATGATTGTCATTTCCAGTAGTTACATAGGATTACTTTGTTCAGTTGAAAAAAAAATGAAATTAACTGGCTATGCCATTCAAATTATAATGCTGACATCTTTAATATTTGAGTTCTAATTCCCCACCCTCCTTTTTAACCACTTGGTAATTATTTTGTTCTCATTAAATTGATTGAAACCATAGTGATGAGTTTGCCTTCCCATCAATTTGAAAAGTGGGATGTTGCTAACCTTATCAAATTTGTACAGTATGACTTGAAAGTCATTGGTTAAACCTATAAAACTGCCTAGAATTGCCTAGAGATTATAGAGATAACATGAATAATATTGGAAGTATTCTCTGTAGACTGTTGTGGATGTGAATAATGACCTCCTTGTGAATTCTAATTAACTTTTTTTTAAAAAAAAAACAAAACTATTAAGGTTCTCCAACCAGAGATGTGGGCCCTTCGTTAGGCCTGAAGAAATCCAGCTCTTTAGAAAGTTTGCAGACAGCAGTTGCTGAAGTGACATTGAATAGTGACATCCCCTTCCATCGTCCACGACCACGAATAATCCGAGGACGAGGATGCAATGAAAGTTTCAGGGCAGCAATAGATAAATCATACGATAAACCTGTTGCTGATGAAGATGATGAAGGCATGGAAACCTGTGAGTAAATCATGTAGCATTCCTTTCTTTACATTTTTAAAGTCTTCTATAATTTTGGATTAAATTCTGTTGGAAAACCCAATAGATGCTTTAGGTTTCATAATAGAATTATAGACTTCAAATAACAGGACACAATTGTTATATTCAGTTTGGCTTTGGTAAAAAGCACACACACAGACACATTTTATAGATAAAATACATAAAATTCTGGGTAGCACACTTCATAAACGACTCAATTCATGGGACAGATGCCAAGAAGGGCACCAAATAACATCAGAAAACTAAAAATGACTGAACATTTTTGGTTTTGTTTACATCGTCCCCTAAGTCTTTATATGTATAAGAATATGGCACAGTCCTTTAGATCCAAGTTGGAGTGTAACATAATGGTCACACTGAAGTGCATTTCACAATGTTCATTATGAGCTAGACATCAGGGAGTTCGTTAAAAGGTTGATTGAGGCTTCACTAGTTAAATTACATTCAAGAATTCTTTATTCCTTTCATTCTTTCCTCAGCTTATGTGCTTTCTATGTGTGTATGTGTCTAAAATAATAATTTAGAAATCTTCCTTCTGTCATTGTGAAACCAATGCAATGCATCACTGGAAAATTACTGGTTTTAGAAGCCTGAATATTTCTCTTTGCCAACCAACTGACATTTTTGTTTTGTTTTGTTTTGAAGAAAGAGTTACAATGAATTGTTTATAAAGAAATCTTTATGATGTCGTATTGGGAGTTCTAAAATTATAGCATGGAACATGTGATAGAGAAGTACACTGACTTTGCAAACATAATATAATTGCTCCCCTTAGAAGAATAAGCTATTCATACTCTTAAACAATGTATGAAAGATAAGTTTGGCGGGAGGTACATATAGATTTTAAGAGCTATAATCAGAAAGTCAGAGATGACTGCTTGGGATATTCCGATCATATGAATCATAGCGCTTGTTTTCAAACTCTTGAAAAGAATGACAAGAAACAGAGCCCATTTTTAGTGAGTGTAGTCTGAAGCAAGCCATTTGAATCTGAATAAATTGGCAAACCTTTCTTATCTCTCTTAATTGCTGGAGCTTCGGCTGGCATTAAGTAATACAATAAGCAGTCTAGACACTCAACTATGAAACAGTTTCATATTCAGTAATTATTTTTTCTTATATGCATTTTGCTTGCTTTATGGAGTAATTAGGAGAAGAGCTTCAGAAAATTCGGCCTGTGGTCCTATTCAATAGAAATTATGTGCACATTTGCATCATATTCAAAAGGGCAATCTGATTTAATATTCTATCTGCAAGTTATATGCGAGTCTGTTAACCAGGGCTATTTTTATCCTTTTATTTTTATTTAAAACAAAGGTGTATTTTTAAAAAAAATATAGCCTGTGAATGAAGAGATAATTATTGAAGTTACATAATTAATTTTCAATATAGTATTATTAAACGATACCGGTACGAGGAGTTGTTTTCATGATATAAAAGAAGTATAATTTTTTGAGCTTAATGCCAAAACCTCAGCTATGTTAATATTTATACATGTTAAAAAAAAGAAGAGAAAAGAGAAAAGCTCATCTTCTTATTAGGAACAGATTTATTGAACATAGCTGGTTTATACTGACTCATATATTGTGCTATACGGCTTTCTATTCAGTGTAGTAGCATGTAGCATACTTGCATTTGTCCATACATCATCTTCTCATGTGTTATAACAATTGGCTGTAATTTTCAAATTTTTATTTTAGGCAGAGACATTGAAAATTCACACCCACACCCACCCACCCACACACACACATACACACACACGCACGCAAATATGCATTTTCTCATTATCCTTCTGGCTCCCTCTGTAGCTTTTGATCTCATCAACCATTTTGTCCCTTTGGACTACTGAAGGGGTTTGTGGCTCAGAAGCAGTGCTTCTGTTCCTAAGTAAGCAGTTCAGTTAAGTGTTCGTGGGGAACTCTCAGGAATAGCCCGCTGAATGACTGGATGGGACAGAGCAAGTTCAGATTGAATCTCAGCAAGACATAAGTGTTGTCTGATTGAAGGGTAGTTTCAACTTCATCTATGGGTGCAGCTGCATTTCTTTGAAGGAGCTGCATGTCCTAGATGGGCAGATTTTATTTATAGCAGATGATTCCTAAGATATCTTTGGAATATCTGCTATAAGTAAAATCTGCCCATCTAGGACATGCAGGGCATGTAGTTTGTCTCAATATCCCAGAAACTAAAAGGAAAGCAGTTGAGAGAAGGATCTTGGTCATGGCCTCTTCATTTGGAAAAGTTGCCCTTATCAAATAGAATGGTTTTAGCCTGCATTTAAATAGTTTAAATGCATTTAAATAGTCAAGATCAAATTTCACAGAGTGGTTTTTTTTTTCTAGAGTGAAGCACTTACTGGGTGGGTGGAATGGGGCAGTGGGCATTGTGAAGCATAAATTGGTGTTACCATAAGGTTCAACTGGTTTTATTGATGTTAGCTTGTTGTAGAACTTTAAGTAACTTAGAATGCATTGAATAAGCAGAATATGTATATTGTAAATAAAGATTATAACCTGTATCCCATGTTTCAAGCCTAAATGTAATCAAATATAGGATTAAACCAAAGTTTCAGAGCAAAAATTGTCAATTAATGGGTAGTTTTTCTGTTGTCTCAATCTAACAAAACTGCATTTACAAAAATACGTGGAGCTGGTAGGCTGCAAAACAACTTATGGGTCTTGTGTTTGAAATTTATATATTTTTTAAAAAAACAAAAACACCTTCCTTTTGTTTCCCTCCATCCCCTGATAAAATTTCCTTACTCTTTTAGTGGAAGAAGACACAGAAGAAAGTTCACGATCTGGTAGGGAATCTGTGTCCACATCTAGTGACCAACCATCCCATTCTCTAGAAAGACATATGAATGGCAGTCAGGAAAAAGGGGACCGGAAAAAAATTGGGAAGGACAAGAAAAAAGATCGAGATAAAGAGAAGGATAAAATCAAAGCCAAGAAAGGAATGCTGAAAGGTCTTGGGGACATGTTCAGGTAAGAATTGCAGATGAATTTAAATGTTTATGTCTATTCGTGCTTTGCTATTCATCATAACATTATTTATAGCTCACTATCCATTTCCAAAATACGAATACTGTGAATAGAGTTAAAAGGTGTTATCAAATGTTTTATCAATCATTCACCATCGCAGCCTTACAAATATTCTATCAGAGTCCATTTTGTTTTTCTGAGATTAGCACATCTGGATGAGGGACAATATTTTCACCAAGCAAAAGAATTGCAGTAACATGTTTCTTCAAAGAAGACAAGGGAAGGGAAAATATGACCTGAGGCATAAATAGTAAACTGTGTTCGGTATGCAATGAGATAATAATGCCTGTTTAATCATAGTAGCATCATCATGGCTTATAACAGACATAACTGAATGCTAATCCTAGATATTTTGTACATTTATGATAATGTACTACTAAAATGCTACCATGGCCCAGTTCATATCTCCATAAACTTCAAATATTACCATGGAAAATATGTTTCATGTAATATACTGAGATTTCTTGTGAAGTTTGGGCAACATATGCTATTATTTCATTTCTGGAGAAAATTTCCTAACTGCCAAACAGGCATTTGTTTGTTATTTGCATAGGATTATGAATTGGGCAGAATAGATTCAGACATAATTATTTAAGTATAGTCTTATAGTTGTTAATGAATGATAAATTGGTTATTTGAAATGTGAGCCTGTCCTCTGATCAAGTTCTGTTAAAGACAACACTTACTTCATGTACATCTCAGTTTTCCAAAACTGTTTTTGTCTGGGTTTCTCCCTGATTTAATACTGTACTTTCCATGGGTAGCAATAAAACATAACCTGTGGGGAGCACAAATCAGCCAAATAAATATTGGAAACTGGAAATTAATATTAGAGTATACAGATTACTTAAGATCAGCAGTGAAATCTGGCCTGATCTATCCAGCTTGCACAAACTGGTAGCGCCGGTGGCAGGAGGCTCCACCTACCTGCCGGGATGTCATAACGTCCCATTTTTGATCCTCTGCGCATGAGCAGAAGAGGCGCGCTGCACGCTCACATTTCTGAACTGGTAGCAAAGGTAAGCGCATTTCACCGCTGCTTAGGATTCAATCTGTGCAGAAGTATCAAAATTTAATTGGCCACATGCCTTATGAAGTTCTTATTAATAGGTATGTGCACAGTAATTGCCTTTATTTTTTAAAAAACATGCAGTCAATTTATTGTGGAATCATGGTTTTGTATCTTTCATTACAAAAGCAGCAATGTGAACATTAATTGTATTTATAAGAACTATTGGCTATTATTGATGAATTTGCATAGGACCGGGCTATCGGAGGGATCAGCTCTTCCAAATTACATCAGACTACCTCATTAGATCTGACATAGAAGGCATGCTGCAGATATCTTCAGCTATGGACATCCATTTTATGTGCCCCAGGAGCCATACTTTCTCTATTCCCCAAAAATCCCCATACCCTCCCCCACCTGAGGGAAGGATATTGCAAAATTTCCATTCCCACGCCGCTCTGGGGCCAGGCAGAGGTGGTATTTGCCAGTTCTCTGAACTACTCAAAATTTCCGCTACCAGTTAAAATTCCACTACCGATTCTCCAGAACTTGTCAGAACCTGCTAGATTTCACACCTGCATTATTTCTTTCAGAACTTTCACTGGTTCATTAACCACCTTTTGCATTTTCTGGTTGCATCACTGAAGGGCTTATACTAGTAAAGAATGTTAAGAAAGAGACAATGACTAATACTATTGGTCAGAGACCTGAAGCTCATTTCTCAGAGATAGGTAAGAGAATGCCATAGAATCTTCTTATTTTATTTGGAGAAATAGGAAGCCCTGAGGACCATACCTGGCAGAGGTGGTACTGTTGCAAGAAATCCCAGATCAGGGTCCATGAGAAAAATTAACATATTTTTTGGACTATAAAATGCTCCGAAGTATAAGACACACCTAGCTTTTGGGGAGAAAACAAGAAAAAAAAGTCTGCCTCCCAGCAGGTTGCGTCCTTGCAGCAAATAGTCTGTTTCAGTTTCAGCCTGATTAGCACAAGAAAAAAAAATCTACTTTTGCCTCCTTGCAACAAATAGCCTGATTCTGTTTCAGCTTCAACACAGTCTGATTAGCAGAAGCAGCTGATTGTCTGTTGGATCGGCCTCCTGACCATCAGCTGTTTCAGGCTGCAGGGATTGCCATAGCCTATTGCCGCCTCCACGTGCCTCATTTTCGGCCTCCGCACCCCATTTTCGGCCTTCATGTGCCCCATTTTCCGTCCATTCTGATCCCCACCACCCGGAATGGGTGGAAAAGGGGACGTGCGGAGGCTGCCAACAGTGGCAATAGACTATGGCAATCCCTGCAGCATTCAAACAGCTGATCGTCAGGAGGCTGATCCAACCGGCAATCAGTTGGTTGGGCTAATCAGGCTGTGCTGAAGCTGAAACAGGCTGCTGTTTTCTGCAGGGAGGTAGATTGCTGGGAGGCAGAGGCCAAAGGGTGGGGGCTGGCAGATGGGCGGGGCTATATTCAATGTATAAGATGCACTCTAATTTTCAGCCTCTTTTAGGGGGAAAGTGCATCTTATACTCTGAAAAATACGGTACTTGTGCTTATTATAAGGTATTCCTTTTCAGACCATTTATTTAAAAATGGTATTTGATAATGGGGAAATTATTTTTGCACCCTGTATAGTAAGCTTTATATTTAGGAAATTTTGCATGGGCCGAATAAGAAACTTCATTTAGTCTTTTATAAACTAAATACTGCTTTGTGTAGGACAACATAGATCAGCAGAAGACAAGGTGATCCCTAAAACCTTTGTATGACCTGTAAATACCTTCTCTGCTTTTCTTTTTCCTTTTTTTCCTTTTAGGACCTCCCAAAATCAAAACATTTTCATCCTTTCTTTACAGTGCGAGAATGGGGGACTTCTTTAAAAGACAAAATAGGCCCTTCCAAATTAGGTTGCACTCTCTTTTTTCACTCCAAATTGTGAGAAAGGGGTGATTCCCCATTTACTTTAGTCATTTCTCTTTTATACTGTATATATTCTTCCATCTGTTAGAAAACAAAGGCTGTGCTATTTTCTATAGCAGGGATCTCCAACCCCCAGTTCGTGGACTGGCACTAGACCACAGCATGCCAGAAACCCGAACATGCAAACAACGAAGCCCCATCCACGGGATTCAGACAACATATGATACCACACCTCCTCCGGTCTGTGGAAAAACCTTTCTCTGCAGAACCAGTTCCTGCTGCCCAAAAAATTGGGGGTTGCTGTTCTACAGTGTCCTTGGTGTCCTCTGTTTATTAATAGAGGGAGCTATAATGCTAAAAACCAGAGCAATTTCATTTTGCCCTCTATTAAGAAAAAAAGAACTGTGGACTATATTGGGGGAAAATAGACTATTACTAGCAATAGCAATAGCACTTAGACTTATATACCGCTTTACAGTGCTTTACAGCCCTCTCTAAGCTGTTTACAGTGTCAGCATATTGCCCCCAACAATTTGGGTCCTCATTTTACCCACCTCAGAAGGATGGAAGGCTGAACCAAATTGTTTGGACTGTTATTAACCAAACAAAATAATATTTCATGCCTAGTAAACCCAATTTTCCTCATTTCATTTAATTTAGTCTTGCAATCTTTGTTATGTTTGAAAATACAATCTGGATCTATTTAAAATATTTGGGAGCGATAATCAAACACAAGTTATTGATCTATACTCCTCTTGAAACTTTTTAATTTATCAAAGACTCATTAGAATTGATGCAACAATATCATAAACACTCCAGATACATAGTAAACTGGAGTAATCAGACTCTAATATTTTGCCAAGTGATAAAGGTATCATTAGATGTATGTAAAAATAGTTCAGCTCATAATAAACACTAGAAGGCAATTATTCAGATAAAAAGATCTTTATTAGTAGATATGAATATTTATATAGCCCTGATAAATGGGACGTTAATAAGTGGATGAAAATAGCGATGAGTCTGTGGATAGGAATAAATGTACTGAAAATGAAAACGGCATTAATGATAGCAATAAATGAATCAATTTCACTGAGATATTTTAAAGTGATACATTAGTGGTTGGTTTTGTATGGAGTGGATAAACCCCAAGGACACTTTTGCAGCCTCTAAAAATTTGGTAGTACAGAATGCATTAGAAATTTTTTTTATAGCAGCTAAACCAATAATTCCATATTATAAATGTCTATATTTTTAAATAAAACTAGATGTCGATAATATAAAAGAAATAGAATATAGAATTGAGCTATCTTATACTATCAAACCAATGGTCCTAGGTTTTAAGAAATGTGATTACAATTTAAAACTAGTTCATCAAACAATTTTTTAAAAAAGAAAATCATGTCTATTAAGTTTCTCAACAGTTGTTTAAATTCAATAGGTTTCCAATAATAATCTTTATTGGAGACCTAATGAATTTGAAGGTACGTTAATTCATACTGTTTGGTCCATGCTCAATGTATCTTCCTTTTCAGTTATATATATTACTACTGAGAGCAAGCAGGCTCTTGGAAGGAAAGGTTTAAGGATGTTGTTGAATTTTGATTTATTGATTGATTATTTACTATTAAGTCATTTTCAAATCCTGGTTTTCACATAGATAGATCAGGACAATCAATCTCTTCATCCATCTTCCTTCTGGTCGCCATCCTCTTCATTTTCCTTCTTCCTTTCCCAGCGTTATAGGCTTTTCCAGAGAGCCAGGTTTTTTCAATATGTCTGAAGTAGGATAATTTGACATTTAACATTGCTTCTGTTTCTTTTGTTATTTGTCTAATAATACAATCACTTCCATTTGCAGCTTTTCTTTTATAGCCATAAATAGCAGTATAATGTAACAGTAATAGTAATATTTATTCAGTCAATGACCAGCAAAATTTAGAAATTAAAGCATGGAACTAAAATCAAATGAATGAGATAAAGTATTATTTTAGGAAGGAGGTTCCATGATAAAAGTA